ACTCGGTTTCCGAACTTGACATACCACAGATGGTGGTGAACTTCCGAAAGTACAGAATGGGTTTGATACAGACTGCGGGTCAGCTTCGGTTTTGCTGGAAGGCGGTTGTAGATGCGTTAGAGAATGATCGATGGGTAAATTATTTGCATTTAGTCTTTGGTCAAGTGAAAATTTTGTATGAAATTTTTTGGGTTCAGGGTTTCCTTATTACTTTTTTATATAAGGTATTTTTTTCTATAAAAGCACGAACTGACCAAAGGTGTCACCAGTGATCGAAGAATATGGAAAAAAACTGATCTCAGCAACTTGATCTTATCATGATAATACAAGAAGTATTTCTGTCACAATTATATTTTGCGTTGTGTTGCACCACTCCGTGTTCTCACTTGTCTGTTGGAAGGATTGAACATTTAAAGAGGTCATAGTTTTACGATATTTGACAACATAAAGTGATAAGTCCATCTCATCATTTTCCTTAAAGCAACCTCATGTTGATTACGAATGAAGTTTCAGAAAGTGGTTCTCATTATATGTCACTCCACAAATGTCAAAAGATATTTGTAGGCTGAATTTGCGCACAACTCCTCTAAATCCAGATTTCAGGACCTACTGTTGTATTTCGTCTCCAGACTGCTTGGCGGGGTAGGGAGGGGGAGTAAGAGGAGATTCTTTACTTCCTTTGCTTGCTTAACAAAGTGTACCATGAAAGCGTCACGTTCATCTGAGGTACTATTTTTGCTAGGAGGGTCCTGATGGCATTGCGCTGTTGCCTATGGATCAACTTATACGGAACAACAAATGAAGTCATCCGCTGTATAGTAATGCATTCATCTTCGTTTGATGACATTCATTTTAACTTTTGATGAAAAAGCAAAGGATAGCAGATTTGTTTATGTAGTGTTTTACTTGTTTTAGCGCGTCTTGTCCCTCGCGGAAACTGTAGCCGAAAATCTCGATGATCAACAAGACTCTGAAACTCAGCAGTCAGAACTTGTTACCAATGGCGCTTTAACTGATTCCGGAGAAGACGATCAAAGTAGTGCGTCGAGCACCATGTCCGAGCAGTTTACCCCTAAGTGGTCACGCTTGTCATCATCTTCGTTACCTCACGAAGACTGCAACGAATCACAGTTGCCATCGTCTGAAGAAAAGGCCTCCGTTTCTTCCCAGCCCGCACTCACCAGTGACCTAACAGAAAGGTAAAAGGTACTGAATGGCTTATTGTACCAGTTGCTTGCTTCATTTCGCTGGTAATGCTATTAATTTGGCTTCCTGTAGCCTTAGAACTGGAATATTAGCGTTGTCTTCAGTATTGGCTGTTGTCTCACTCCCTTGTTCTGAGCGACATCCTTGCAGTAGCTGCCAATCTTAGTTTTATGCCCATTTGTTTAGTTTTATAGTAATCGTACCACATTTTTGTTTGTAATATCATTTCGTGATTGTAGGATATTCTCTCATTTCATTAACTACCTTCGTTTACAGACTATATCTAAAAATAGGACTTCTCTTGAGGTCGTGTGCGTCTACTGTTCGGTAACAGTCTCGCATTATAAATAGAATTGAATGACCCAAATATATCACAATACCTAGACGAATTAGTTGAACGGAAACCCTTCACTTAAGTCCGCGAAAAATTTTGATCTGCTTGCCAGAATTACGGCATAGATAGACGCAGAAATTGCGTTTGGAGAGGAACAGTGTATTCTACTGTGCAACAACCGGTTCTTTATGTCAGTAATGTTGAACAGCTGTGAACGCTGTTGATACGATAAACCATGAAAGTCCTGCTATTGCTAAAAGCTCTTGGTGATGATCATGAGCATAGATGCACAATGAGTTATTGGCATTCCTCACGAGAGATCCCGTATTGTTCTACCCATCCATTATTGGCTGGCCAGGACGATTTGTCTTCCTACACTCTTACGTTTAAAACCCACAAATAGCCCTTTACATGACTTAATAGAAATGCGGTCCCGTCAAGACTGTTTCACTCACTAAAAAATGTCCAGTGGTCATGAATCCACAATTTTTAATGCTCAGCAGATATTTCAGGTACGAGCAGCGTTTACGAAGAAGGGGACAGAAAAATCTGGAAATGAAGGAGAGACTAGTCAAGATAAGGGAGAACTTGAAACGTTCCGATGAAATTGTTTTTACCCGCAAGCGGTTCATCGTCGGTGGTGGCGTGATCGTGATTACAGCCGTGGCATGCTTATACGTGTATTACAAATGGCTCTGAAACTTCTTCTCTGCGCCGAGACTGTGATTACGTTATATTAAAATGTTGCATCTTTGTAGGTCTCAGCATTTCTCATTCGCCTGCGGTACCGGCATATGTGCCTTAATTTTTATTCATTCCGTTTTTG